GATAATTGTCTTCCAACTGACAATCTGAACACACAGCTCAAAATATACAAGAAATCCCAGAAGAACAAAAGGCGCCACAGTATGAGAACAAGGTCTCAGTCTAAACAATTCCCGTGGGCCTAGTTATTTATTTTATTTCCCTTTATGTTCTTTTGTATTTTTCTTTTTTTGTACTGTATTTTCATTTCGGCTTTGTACTCTACTTTTTTTTCCAATAAAATCAGCTTTTCTAAAAAAAAAAAAAAAAAAAAAAAACTAAGTCGGGCATCTTCTGATCATATGCCCATACTGCTAGTTTGTAACACTACAAAGTTCAGTGGGCCAAAGGCTTTCCGGTTTCAAAATATGTTGACTACCAATGAGTCCTTCCTAGACATTGTGTCTAATATTTGGCAATCATATCCTTCAGGTGGAGGAATGAGGCACTTCTACAATAAACTTCATCATGTCAAAAAGGGCTTAAAATTGTGGAATAGGTCAACTTTTGGTGATATTTTAGTGGAAGTGAATAAGGCTGAATCCAAGGCCCAACATGCAAAAGAGGTTTACCTAAATAACCCTACCCCAGAGCACATATCCCTTTGGTCTAAAACTCAAGCATAACTTCTTTCAAGACGTAATCAGGAAAAGGAATTTTGGAGGCAAAAAAAAAATCAAATGGATGCTTGAGGGAGATGATGATACGAAATTTTACCACAACTTTGTTCGACAGGAGAGATGGAACCAATCCATCCAACTCTTAGAAGAGCAACTGGGACAATCTCACACGGATCAGGCATCTATTGCCCTTGCTGCTACTGCCCACTTTCAAAAACTGTACTCGGATTTGCCTGACCCTACAGATTTCAAGGGTGACATGCTAGACGTGCTACCCCAATGCATAACTGCAGCTGACAACACCTTCCTTACTACTCTGCCAACCAAACAGGAAATTAAACACTATTTGGGCCCTGAATAGTGATAGTAGCCCAGGCCCTGATGGGTTCAATGGTCATTTTTACTGAACTTGCTGGAGCATCATTCAAAATGACCTGCTCACGGCAGTTCATGAGTTTTTCCTTGGAATTCCCATGCCCAAAGCCCTGTCTTACTCCCTAATTACTCTAATCCCAAAAAGACCGAATGCTAAGAAATGTAGTCACTATCGCCCTATCAGCTAAGCCAATTTCATGAATAAAGTCTGCACAAAGATCCTTGTTACACGCCTTAAAACACTTCTCCCTACGATTGTCTCAAAAGAACAAATAGGATTTATGGAGGGGGAGGACATCCATCATCATATCCTACTAGCTAATGAGATTCTTCATCACTTGGATAAATGAGTCAGGGGGGATATAGCCATTAAATTGGACTTGGCGCAAGCGTTCGATAGGGTGTCTTGGATTTTTCTTGAGGCTTCAATGCTCAAGTTAGGATTTGATAAGAGGTTCATCCATCTTATCATGTCCAACCTGGCCTCAACTCACATTTCTATTTTGGTAAATGGGTGTCCCCATGGCTTCTTTAAGCCACAGAGGGGGGTCAAACAGGGGGGCCCTATCACCGTATCTTTTCTAAATAGTGTTAGAATCCTTTACTAGGGGATTACAGATGTTATTTAACAACAAATACATTCTGCCCTATAAAATTGGGAATACTACTACCCCAGTGATGCTGCTCGGATACGCTGATGATCTCATCCTCTTCCTAAATGGATCGTCCACATCACTTCAAAAACTTCAATATTTTCTGGAGGAGTTTGCATCAGCCAGTGGTCAGTTGGTAAACTACAATAAGAGCAACTTGATAGTAAGTAAACATTGCACTTTAGCAAGGAAAAGAGGTCTAGAAAAAGACACTGGTATGAAGGTTTCTCACCTTCCGATCACATACCTGGGGGCCACTCTACATCAGGGGATCACCAGACAGGCTCATTGCTCCAATTTGGTGAAAACCTTTGAATCAAAGCTTCAGTCCCAGAAAAAGAAACAGTTGAATCAATCAGGTCGTTTGATCTTGATAAAACATGTTCTCACACCTATCCCCATTCATCAACTGGCAGTCACCAAATTCCCCAAAAAAAATTATAAACATGCTACACAAGTTAATGAGTAATTTCTTTTGGGGATCAATAGGGGGAAAACAAGCATAACTGGATGATCTGGAAGGCAATTTGCAGACAAGGTAATGAGGGTGGTTTAAACATTAAATTGCTAACAGACATACAAGATTCCTACCAACTCAAAATCTGGTGGAACTACACAAAACAGAGATCTATCTGGGCGAAATACATGTCCATCAAATACTCCATGGCAGGTAATATGATTGCTAAATCATATGACTCTCCTGTGTGGAGACAAATTTGTGCAACTGCACAACAGAACCACGGAATCATCACCTTTTACCAAGACTCACCTACCTGGACTCTAGAAAAAGCAGGTCACTTCTCTATGAAAAGTGCTTTCCGTCACTCAAGCAAACACTACCCCTCAACACTTGCCTACGAAGAAAATTGGAAGACATCCTTACAACTCAAGATCAAAGTTTTTTTCTGGAAATACCTAACGGGATCACTGCCATTCCCAGATAACTTAACCCGATTCAAACTCCAACTTGTGACTAGATGCCCTTTCTGCCTAAACAACCAAGACACTCAAAACCACTCTCTATTCACTTGCCCACTAATCAAACCCATTTGGAGGTATTTTTCTTCTATTTTGCAGTTTTTTTTACCCCGGAAAGTCAACCACCAAAATCAGTGGGGCAAATGCCGGGGACGTTTGTCGTATTTTATTAGAAAAAATAGAAACAAAGTATAAAAGGAGGGGGGGAAGATATTATCTACTATCAAAACACATTTAGATGTAATGAGTTGATTTTAGATATGAAAGGATCATGGTCGGCTGAATAGATTAGGAGTCCCGGTTCAAATCACGTAAATTAAAATATGAGAAAAGGGTCAGATAGGTCCCCGAACTTACATAAAAAGGTCAAATAAGTCCTTATATAGTAGGCTCTGTCGGTCGTCACCATTTAGCGCAGTTATCTTCAAGAATTAATTTGAATGCCTTCCCGATTGAAGTTTTAGCTGAAATTTGGTATGAGTAAACTAGACTTAATGAATAAGATACTCAAAAAAATTCATCAAAACATTCCACCGGGAACCGCCCCAAATGGCGAAGGCCGGACAGAGCTTCCTATATAAGGACTTATTTGAACTTTTTATGTAAGTTCGGGGACCTGTCTGACCCTTTTCCCATTAAAATATGCATTATATTAAATAAATATAATGTCAAAAATCAATCTTCAAAAAGTAACCCAAAAAAGGAACGACCAAATGTGAGATGGAGAGATAATCATATTTTCAAACATGAACAACCAAAATCATTATAAAAAAATTAAAATCGAAAAGAAATGAATTAAAATCATGAACTAAGAAATAAGACATTACCCAAAAAACTGAGAAATAGAATAAAAAGTAAAGATTTTAGATATCGTTGGATGACTAGAATAGTTTAATCATTTAAGCAAATCAATAATCAACTATTCTGGAAAAGAAAAAAAGAAGAATATCTCTGATTTATAGGGAATGTGAGAAGTCGAGAAAGAGAAGCTCATGAATCGTGCAAGTGACGATTTGACATGGAAAATGGAAAGAGAAGCTCATGAATTGTTTTTGTTCCAGTTGGGCCATTTTGTAACACCCCGGCCCCGCAGGGTCCGAGATAGTTACTCCAGACCTCTAGTACTGTCCTCACAAACCACCACGAGCTTTTACCGTGCACTTTGTCCTCACTCATGCGCATCCTGAGCATCTTAAATGCTAAAACGTGAACGGTGTATATGTGGCATGAGAGATAGCCAATTAAAAAATAATAAATAGAATATCTCTCTTCACAATGTCAAGCACAATGTCTAGATGTAGACATTGTGCTTGACATTGCAGAGGAAAACTTACCAAAAACAATAAAAACGTGGAAAGAATGAGAGACAAATGTCATAAATTCAATTTTTTGTGTCTATATCTCTCATGCCACATGTGCACCGTGCACATTGTAGCATTGAAGATGCTCTGAGAAACTTCACAGGGGGTCACTCATCCCAAGACTACTCCCGTGCAAGCACACTTAACTTTGGAGTTCTTGGGTGATGAGCTCCCTTAAAAGGAGATGCACCTCTGTTGGTATGAGTAGTACTATTAATCTATTTAAATTAAATCTCAAGTGTTACACATTTGGTCTTTAATTCCAAAATTCAAATGGTTTCTCTCGTTATTAATATATTTATACTCTAAACAATTACTTTAATTTGTACATATAGAGCCCCGTTCTTTTTTTTATCATATAGAGTCTTGTTCTTGTGAGGAGCTTCTCACTAGAACCGCCGTGCACAGCTCCATTTGGAGTGCTTTTAAATGAAATTTTTTTAATTGAATTTTGTGATCATGTTTTCTATGAATTTTATATTATGTCCATAAAATTTAAACTTAAAATTCAACCAGGAATCCATTTAAATAAACTGTTGAAAAGCATTGCACCTTTTATATGTATAAAAAGCGCAGTGTTTGTTAATAATTTATTTAACAAGCTTCCCGATTAAAATTTTATATGAAATTTGGTGGACATAATATGCACTTCATAGAGAACGCAACAGAAATGTCCCTCTCTCTCAACTTTCACACGCGTTAAACCTAATCGACAGACATCCCTCCTTGGCGTACTATGTTCGGATCTGTTGGTCCAGCATCTCTTGACCTGTAATAGGGCCACCACAACCCACTTTATGCGGAAACCAAGCAAGTGACAACGGGTCTTCAACATTTTATTTTTGGCAACATCACTTTTGTATTTCCCTTATGCATTTTTGGCTTTTCGTATTGTGTATTCCTGTATTTTCATATTTCTAATAAAATCGTTGGTTTTCTAAAAAAAATTTGCTATCAATGCATATATATTATGTAGGGTTTTTTATTTGAATATTACTAATTTTGAATCAATTACCAAAAAAGTGATCACTTTTAAAAAGGGGCAAAAAAATGATCAAGAAGACCATATATTTAGAAAAACATAGTGTTTGCCAGATTTATGTCACTGTACCCGCCGCTCATGTCACTGTAGCCATCGCCAATGTCACTGTAGCCACCGATCGTGTCACTGTAGCCACCGCCCGTGTCACAGTAGCCACCGCCTGTGTCACAGTAGTCACCGCCCGTGTCACTATAGCCACCGTCCGTGTCACTGTAGCCATCGTCAGTGTCACTGTCACCACCACTCGTGTCACTGTAGCCACCGTCCGTGTCACTGTCACCACCACTCGTGTCACAATAGCCACCGCGCGTGTCACAATAGCCACCGCGCATGTCACTATAACCGCAGCGACATCACCGTAGTGAACACAGTGACGCCGCTACCGCACAGTGATGTCACTGCCGTAGGATCCGCTGAACTCCGCCCCGCCTCTTCCGGTTACTGCCACCACCGCCATTTGACCACAATGGCCGCCGCCGGACCTTCTGACAACTCCAGCCGCACAGCCACTGCACTCCCCAGCCCCCCTCACAAACCCCATCCCAGCCAAGCCTCGATGCAATCCCTCCCCTGTCCCAACCCGACCACCACCCAACCAGCCCCTTTCATAGTCTCCCTCACCTTCCCGGCCAAGCCTTCTTCCCAGTTCCTTCCCTAGTTTCTCCAACCCCTGTCTCCCTAAGCCAAAAATTTCAAATCTGCGGGAAAAACAATCAGATCTGCGGCGGATTTGTTTGGTCCCAAGGCGGTCGACAGATTTGACCCAGACAAATTAGAAGCTCGTCGATGAAGCTTGAAAATGGAGTTTCTCAGCGAAGCTTGTCGCCATTACCGCCAAATTAGAAGCTCGTCGGCGAATCTGTGCACAAACTTGCTGCTAGTTTTGATTCAGCAAGAGGAGAAGAATTCTTGGTCAGTGCGTTGCTCAATGGTGGTTGTGGCGGCAGAGGTGTTGTGTGTTGGCCGGAGGTTGGATGGTCTGAAGCAGGGAAGAAGATGGAAGTTATGTAGCTATTATATTACAATTTTATGTGTGACATCAACTATTTTGTCTAGTCTATTTCCGGCAATATGATACTCAATTTGTTAGCTATATAGCTTGCCTCTTGAATAGACCTCACAAATCAACCAAGTTTGAAAAAATTCGGTTTTAATGAATTACTACTTCCGTTCCAATAAATTCTTCCCAATTTGACTTGGCTCGAAAATTAAGGAATTGGAAATGTATGGTTGTAGTTGTGTAAGAAAAAAGTAAATGAATGTGAACCAAACAGTTTTTCCAAAAAGGTAAGTTGGAAGAATTTTATGGGACAGTTCATAAAGGAAAGTTGGAAGAATTTAATGGGATGGAGGGAGTAATTTTTTTAATAAAATAAAAATAATAATATTTATTTTGAAATACTTTTAAATTGAAAAAACGTCATTAAATTTTTTAATGATTTTAATTTTCAATGATAATGATAAACATTTCTAGAATGAAGATTTTGAAAAAAAATGGCTGAATTGGAGGAATATACGAGTTTGATATATGTGGGATTGAATTTCGAGAGTTTGAATTTTTGGTGTTTGTAGAATTTTTATGGATGGGCTAATAGGGCTGGGACTTTGGAACCAAGAACCGGAGAACCGAACCGGACTGAACCATTATGACCCGGTTCGGTTCGGTTCCCAAATTTATTAGTTATTTGTTAATGGTTCGGTTCCTATTTTTTATTAACGGTTCGGTTCCTGGTTCCTGAAAAAAATATGTCCATGGAACCGTTAAGGAACCGTTATATATAATAATTAAAATTATATATATTTTTATTATTATATATATTTTAATGTATATTTACTTATCTATTTTTATATTACATTCACTATTTTAGTTTAGTTATTTAACTATTTAAAATTATTTTTCATTTTAACCGGCTCTCTTGAGCTTCTTTAGCGAATAGCTTGTTTTGTTTTATTTACTAAAGTTTGCGATTTGTTATGTATTTAGGTTTTAAACTCATTTTTTGAGGTTTGAAATGATCAAAATACTTGTATTATAATTTCAAACATTGAATGTCTTTTTGGCAAAAAATTAACCGTGATTTGTAAGAATGTTTTTAAAGACTAGGAACCGTTAAATGACAAGAACCGAACCGTTAAGAATGGTTTGGTTCCTTATCGGTTCTATAAAATAATTTATAAGAACCGAACCGTTTGTAAAATTTCATATTTTCAAACGGTTCCACATATTTTGCCTAGGAACCGAACCGGTCCCAGGCCTATGGGCTAATACATGGTATATGAATCTTCGTAGCGGTGCTCCATTTAAAAACCCTACTATTGAAAATAATAGTTTGCTTAATGACACTGAAGTTGGTTAAATTAGTTTGTTTTTTATTAAATAAAAACTTTATTAAAAAGAAAAACAAATAGTACAAGGAAAACAAACAGAAACAAACTAAAAAGAAAACTTAAATATAAATTAACTTCAAAAGATAAAATAATTCACTATCAACATAATGCAAATATCACGCATTATAATATATTACAACTGCTCTTCACAAGTTTTCATTTTTTGAAACTTTTCCATCTCTTTTACCGGTATCAAGCACATATTTTTTGACATGGCGAATGAGATAATCATACAGAATTTGGTAACCAATCCAAACCAATCCAATGCCAAAGCTTAACATCACAATGTTCCTTGCGGAAAAGAATATTTCAAGAAATCAAGTTTCAAAAATTATACTTATGATTTATGAATACTAACGTGAAAATATTTTTACAAATTTCAAATTAAACTAAGCATTCATTTAGAAGAAATTAAACATTGTGAAGTTAAATTAAGGATACATTTAAATTATTAATGCAACCAAATCAATCATAATTGCACGATTTGAAGAACTAGAATTTATAATTCTAAAAAAGTTAGGAAAAATAATTCCACCTTTTAACGTTCTTCCAATAGTAATCCCAATTATGAGTAATTCTAAAATAATCCAATTTAGTAATGATATCTTCTCAAAGTAGACCTATGACCGGAATAAAAAAAATCAATAGATTGCCTTCCCACGTGTCTCAATATTATTGGACTATAGGTATTTCTCTCTTTCCCCTTTTCATTTTTTTATTTCTCTTCTCTTTGTCCGGTATGCCTTTCTTCTTCCTTTAACATCGTACAATCTCCTGTGTTATCCCTACCCTTCTTCTTATTCTTAATTCTTTCTCACCTTTCTTTATTTCTCATCTCCCTTCTTCCTATCTTCTTCCTTGTTAATAATTTCTAGACATATTTTCATCCATCAGACTCCTTGTTCTTCTTCTTTGAATTTTATGGAGAATTTATGGAGAAAGGAGCGTGAAATTTTGGAAAAATTTGGCCAGCTTCCCCCAGCACCACCATCTATGTGGCCCCTCTCTTTCCATTTTCTTCTTAGTGTAAAGTTCTTAAAATCATTCCGGTGTCATTGAGACGTCTGATAAGTCCGTATTTAGACACGCATTTGATGCGTGTTGGGATCGGCTTTTGATGGTTTTGCTAGATTTAAAGTGTTGCAAGTCTCAATTTTAGCTCAAGTTATGTTTACCAGGCGTTGGTTCGAGTTTTGTGTCATTTGGAGTCAAAATCAGGGAATTGAGCCCGGCACCGGCGCTTGAGAAGCAATCGGGATGAGTTGAGAAGCATTCGAGAGTGAATTGAGAGCTTTGGAGGTCACCGGGAGGTTTACGATGAAGATTTGATGACAAAAGAGCTCTAGGATTGGCTATGGGATCAAAAGAAGATGAATGAAGCTTGAAAACGACGATCAGAATAACCTTCTGTCAATCGTTCAAGCATATCCCTTTGTAGAAACATCCAAAGGACATGATTTAAGTTCCATATGAAAGTCAACTGCAAGGGCTACAAATCATATGAAGACACCATTTCGAGAATCTGAGAGGAAGAGGGTGAAAACAGACGATGAAGTCAGATGATCCCTGTTGCGATTTCAGAATGAGACCTTCCACCATTTTAATCATATCTCTTGATTGGATGATTCAAATCCAATTCAGCAAGTTGTGGTGGGTAGAGGACTTCATTATATATAACTTTCATGAATTGTTTTTGTCAAATTCGGACTTGAAAACAGTGAAGAACAGGCTAGGCACGATCGTGCCTAGAAGGAGGCCTGATCGTGCCTACCCCCGTGTTACGCGAAAAATTGTCCCAGTGCGGCCAGAATTCCGATTCCTCCCCCACTTTTCTATAAATAAGGCATCCATACTCTTTTTTAGGGGTTACGAACATTACGAAGAGGCCTAGGGACGAATTTACTTGCGTTTTTACGTTGTTTTCTTAAAGAACCCTGGGATTATTTGTAAGTTCATCTTTTTAATTAATGACAATTTATTCTATTCATCCCAATTCTATTGATTTTTCAATTATGAGTTGTGAGTAGTTTAATTAGGAATTTGGGTTGATGAAAGGGTTAATCATGATGTATGGCTAGATGCTTGATGGTTTAATTGCATGAATGTCGTTTAATTTGTGTTTGAATGATTAAATATCTCTTGTAACCTAGATTGCAGCTAGAATTACAATTGCATGTAGAATGAATTGAGAGAGATCTAATTTGTTCTAGGACACATTCACACACACTTAATCATTCGCTAAGAGATTAGTAGCGATTAAGGGTCCGTAAGCTCGCTCGTCTTGGCAATAATTTAGGATCCCGTCGCACGAGAGATCAGTATGTTCCCCTAAATTATTGTACTCTATGCCGCGAGAGCGGTAAGAACTTAGTAATGATTAGCTAGGCTCAATTGAATTAAACTCATGTAATTAGGCCTGATCTGCCAGAAGTCTGGTTACCCCAGAATCAATCCATGTTCCCTACGTTGTTAATTAGAAATAAGCCAAGCTTTATTTTATTCGTTCATCTGCATTTTTATTTTCCAAAACAATCAATCCCGCACAATTGCATTTTATTTTATTTATTTCTTTTTAGATCGTTGAATTTAGTTAATTCTTGATTCCCCTTTTCCGTCCCTGTGGAGACGATACTCGTACTTTTCACCACTATTCTACTTCATTTTTTAAGGGCGAGAAAACTCACATCAACGTCCAAATATTCCTGGAGGCATAATTTATAAGTTGGTCCAATAGGAGCATATCCACCTGACTAGACAAAAATGTATGTTTGTTGTTCGTCTTAAGCTTCGTTGTCACTTGATCATTATATTTCATGGACTGTCGCTCATCCTTCCTCCAAGATTCGAAGACGAGTTCTTGGAATAGGGAACTTTATCTAAGAAGATTTGTGTTCGGCAATAAGAGATCCATTCCCGGATTTGTTCTTTTTTTTTTTTTCATTTTTTGTTATGCTTACAGGTTTAGCAGGTCATAAGCAAAGAGGATCAATTTTAGAAGATCTCATGTTAAATTGGGATTGTTATAGAATTATGCATATTTGAGATTAATATTGGAAGAACGATGATAGTTGGGATTATCCATGTGAATTTTTCCAAAAAGCTAACATCTGATAGACGTTATATTTACTTGTGTTTAACATAAGTATTTAAAAGTATTTTTTGAAGAAAAGGAGAGAAAGCGGGCAAATATGTTCAGAATACGAGCTAGAGCAATAATCATTGTGATGAACGTTTTTTTAGACCAAGAGGATGACGTTCTACCCATAATTTGAGTATAACGTATTGTAGAGAACTCTAAATCACTCGATTCGAATTTCATATGAATGCTAACTCAATAAGGTACAAATGTTATGAAGACGTCATGGCCAAAATATGAAAGGAACAAGACTCAATCAACCAACAAAGTCAGATGTTGCTGGTGGGATTTTAGGATGCATACCTCTCAATGTTTTATCCATAACGTTTGATTGGATGAATAAAATCACTTCATTCAAGTTTTGGTGGATAGAAGACTTCATTATCTACAACTTTGGTGAAGGAATCATGTCCAAAATCGTAGCGGAACATCCCCAAAATCCTGGGACAAAAACCGACACGTTTTGATCCATTTCGGAGGAAGAAAGACGAAGTACAATTTTGGGCGCTGCAACCGGCGCTGGTCAG